CCCGTCGCGCTGTAAATTATTCTGCAATGCAACCTTTCTTTCTTGTGCACCTTTCCCCGAAATTAACGTAACTGCAAATATCCGCACAAAGCAACATACTCCAGCAAATTACTGACAATTCCAAAAGAAGTACGCCAGACCTGCAGCAATGCTATCTCTGCTGATTTGAGGTCGAGTGTAACAAGGGCATTTTTTCTTCCAAATTTTGAAACACTGGAACTGCTGTATACGTTTTAGATAATAGCCTCTCGCTCACGTCACCACCCCTTCCTTCTCCTTCATATCTGTTAGAGGAGACGCGGGCCGACCCACTTGATCTTCTGGGTGGGCGTGGCTCCTGCATATTGCCGTACGCCGACACCGATTTGCATGGCGAGACGTCAAATAGTAATCAATACGCCAAACACAAAACGCTTGTCTCGCGTGCTCGATTTTTCGCGTATACCATGCAGTAAATTGAAGCAAGTAATCATTTTGTTTCATTTTCGTCTGCTAGTACATACATGTATCTTAGCGGTACAGACATGGGCAAGGTTATACAGATGTGGCGTTCTGTCAACAGCAATTGCAATCAGTACAGTGACAAATGTCGCTACGGATGCCTCCAAGTTGCGTTCTCTACGAATATTCACAAATGGTTTTGTTCAGATCTTCGTAGGCACGCTGTTTTGCAAAATAAAATAATTGTGAGAACATGTGACTCGAAACAGAAGTGAGCGCAAAACTTATTTTCGGCGTTTGGCGCACTGCATACGTACAGCGATCCTACCAAAGCTGCCTTACAGGAACTGCTATAGGCATTTTTTGGGACTAAATTAAACTTGTTCAAAAAACACACCTGTCTTTTGCGATTTGAGACGGGCATTGTGATGATAGTGAACGAAAAGAAACAGTGGTCACATTTGAATGTAAATATTTATTGTATAAAAATATTGTGTGTTACAAATTGTGCAACTATATTTCTAATGTTGTTTATTATTTTTAGTTAAACATTAGGTCGATTGTATTTGTACGTAATAGCCCAAATTATTTTGATGTACGTGTCTTTTCCTGAGTTATAGAACAGTATACGATGATATAGGATGCGACAGCCCGGGGCCCTCAATCGCTACGCACTTAAATAGACACGCGTCGTCAATCTGATGTCTGATGTCTCTCTGAGCGCACGTGCGTTCTTGAATTTCGCCGCTAAATAAATTGTGACGACCGTACATGCGGAAATCGAGACAATGTCGTCGACATTGGCAGCGCTTTACCTCGCGAAGATACAACGCAGGTGTCATGGAAGAAACCAACTCACCAGAAAGAAAAAAAAAACTGAAAACACAGCAGGTCAGTACACAATCAAGGTCAAGAGCCGCGAACGTTTTGATAACATGAGGTCATGTTTTCATGACGGTGAACGAATGTTTTCAAGCAAAACGGGCTGCTAAGGACGCCAAGGCCACGCAACGCGCGCATAGAGTCTCCTCCTTGCCTCAACGGCGGCTATACACTCTCCGAATTTTAATGAGGCCTTCTCAGTGTGATACGCAAGCCGACGGTGATTTTTTTTTTTTTTTCATCCCTGTCTCTGCTCTTCGGCGTTACGTTTGCCGCCACGGAAGATACAAGGAGGTATTTGAATCGGGCACCGAAGCGAGGATTTTTTTTCAATAGAAGCGGTTTCTCTTTTGGCCTATGTATGTAAAAAACCAACGCCTTTCATTGTACTCTTGCCTCATTTGTGAAAGTTGTTTTGCTCTCGTTTGTGCAGTAAGAGCTATAGGGTAAAATGAGTTACGACAAGGGTGGAAAAGTTAAGCCTGATTCAGGGGCCCCTTATCTTCTATACCCCCACCACCCCCAACTCTTGAGCAGTAATCGTGGGGACGACAGGAGGAGCACGAAAAAAATATATTTTACAACATGCATGCAAATGTCGCATTTCGTATGGGCCCTGCTGGAAAGTTTTCAGTGCAGCAGGGGCAATAATATTATTCTGTTTTACATGAATTGTCGCTGCGGTTTCGTAATTTTTTGACAGATATATGTGTTTTTAGACAGTTTTCATTACCTCAGTGTGACCGAATGAAGCGAGAAATCTATTATCTATGCAGTGAGTGGATTTGCAAACTGATGCCAAAAAACGCAATTGACAAAATTCTTATATCACGAGGTATTGACACGGCGATGCCAGAATCAATACACGATGGCAGGACGTTGTGTTACAATGCCTTTACGTTGACGTCGAAATAGGTGTCGCCAAAAACAACGCATGCCGTGCTCCGCATTCCCCGCTACTTTTGTGAAGTTTGTTTTTGCGCTAAAGCATGTATACTCTTACAGGGCACACTGTGTCGAGTTGTCCTATTCACCAGAAAGCGTGCCTAAAGTGTAGCAGGGTACCTGTGAATCATGGTGTATTTGGATATTTCAAATAATTTTTGTGAATAATTCAGGTGAACCAATGTCCGCATCTACTGAAATTACGCGATATAGCTGGCAATTTACCCGGCTGTATGTCCACGGTGCAGTGGAATACAGGCCGACACTCCACCCCATCTATAGGCGGGGAGTGCGACCATAAACCTAGTGACTTAGTCAATTCTCTCGGCATACCTCTGACACCTAGTGTGGAGCAGCAGCCTGAGGAACAACTCGCGAGCTCGGCCCCGGGATTGCAGCTCGTGCTTCAATATCAAGTTCGGTGGGCGGCTAAGGCCAGTGGAGCCCTGGACGTAGGGCCTCCACCTTAGGAGCTCCATATCCTCCTTTCTCTTTTCGCATCACTCCCTTTCTCTTTTCGCATCACTCCCTTTCTCTTCTTGTGTCTTATGTGACTCCTCTTGTGGCCATACATCACTGACCGAACATTCCTGATGATTTTGGGTGCACACTCAAGAAACAATAGAACAAGGACGCAGATAATTGAAGCTTATTTGCAAGTATACGAGTAATTGATATTACTTAAGACGGCTTTCCAGTGACCTCCATAAGGGTTAGCAAACCGCGTAATAAGAATAAAAAAGACACGAGGCCTGCATTGAACACGCAGCACAGTCACAGCGTAAGCTCGAGAAGCGGCCTTCACAGAACCCGTCGTAAACTATCTTCGGGCTGCCGCTGCGCGAACAGTTGCAAAGGTATGCTTGCTGCGGCATAAGCATTACCATTTTGTAAGGTATATGGAAGTACTGACTGTGCCATTATTTATCTCACGCAGTAGCGAATACTTACTTCGTGCTTAGAAGGCAGTACGCACGCCTATACTTTGAAAGCTTTGTTGATGCTGCGGTGATGATGGCGAGGAATCGCGGCTGAGTCATTTGTAAAAAGACGAGAAGCTTTAAACCAAGTACTTATCGTGAAATTCTCATGTTTTGACACCTTGTGCGATTCCGGTATTCGGCCACGCTACATTATATCTGTTGAAGAAATTTGTCGTCCGACATGGCATAAATGGTATTTTACCAAAGACGTTTCACGCACTGGTTCCGCTGTGTTTTAAACCAAGCGACTACGGAACAAGAAACCTGGCGTAGATTTCAGGTCGAACCCTGGGCTCTTTCTCTCTCTTACTCTTTCACATTATGCGAAGTAGCAGAGACGGATATCGACGGCGGACGTGGCAGGCAATTGTAAACCACCAAAATCAGTTGCGAGCTAATACAGCTCACTCTTTAAAAAAATCATGGCATATATACACAGAGTGACATATGGTGAGTGAAACGAAGCACCGGTCCATCCGTCCGCGCGTCTGGATGAGCGGAGGGACGGACAGAAGCACGAACGCACGGATGGACGTATGTACAGATGGACAGAAGCGTGGGATGGACGGACAGACGGATGGACGGACAGTAGCCCAGATGGACGAATGGACGGATGGGTGGACGGACGGATGCTTCACCCCACTCGTCAATAACTCCGTGGATATGCTGTGAAAACTAGTAACGCCATCTAGTTATATTATTCGCAAGGACATATACACGCAACACCATCCATTGAGCAACTCATAAACTAGAGGTGACTACATACTACAACTACAGAGGAGGAGTGACCCGTGGCCTAAGGAGCTTCGCCCCTAAAAGAGCAAAGAAACATACCAATTATTTACCCTAGTTGACGTACAATTCTCCCACCGATGTTTTTACAAGCGCATAATGTGTGTCATGCTTTTGAAGTAAGTTGTTCCAAAATATGCGCTCATAAAACAAAATGAAATCGAAAGTTTGGAGATTTCCGGAAAAGGACAATATTGGTGCCAAACTTTTGTTGAGCCAAGCGTCGCACAATTCCTGGCAACAAAACACAAGTCCTCGTCGAGGCACAAGCTGGGGAGTGAGCGCCGGGCAGGTAGTTATTTATTTTCGCATAAATCTTTGTCATACACGATGTGCTTTTCTGGTCCACAGAGCAAGTGGAATATGAAAAAGCAGTGTGACTTGACTTTGTCGACGGCACCTGCTTTTGCCCAAAGTTCGCAGGCTGCGAAAAGAAAAATGATGTGGAGAGAGACTGTAGAATGATGCTCATATGCTATAATAGTGTCATTAGGCTGATATTTAAAAAAAAATTATAACAGATGGGCCAATACTTACCGTCATTACGATGTGGTAGCCTCAGAATATCACAGTTATCGTACTCGGAAAACGCTACCACGTAGTCCAGAACAAAATCTCTTTCTAATGAAAAGAAGAAATGCATGAGATCAGTAATAACATCCTGTAGCAGCTTGTAGATTAAAAGAAAGCATCACATGATTTCTGATAACGAAACAGTGGCGAGACATACCAGTGCATAATCACTTCTTCCTTATCAAGGTTCAATACTGAGCGATATGGACTAAGAAATGCGTTTTCAGGCAATACAATGGCTTACACATTCATACCATTATGGTAAATTGTTGCCTCTGGGTACCTATGCCATATCAAACACTTCTTTGATGCAATTGCAAGAGCACATCAGCGACACCAGTCTGCACGCTTCGCTTTCTTCATAAAATCGAATGAAAATCATTGATGGCTTGTGACAACTGCGATAATCCACATACATGCAATGACGACGACCTCATCGACAGCTTGCGAAACCTCTACTATTATTCCTGCTTTTTAGATTTGCAATACCAGTCTGTTGCGTCAGTATTTTTTTTTTTGATGAAGATAATGCGAGTAATGGCTGTGCTGCTAACGGGTACTGTGACTACACGTTTGGTTGTTGTTGATTTTACTACGCAAGCTCCATAAACCAGGAATTGGTGATTTTTTCATCGTGTAACTTTTCTTTCCCTTTTGTGTCTAAGTGTGTTCCTTTCTACGCACAAAGTCACTGGAGTGCCTAATTTGCCAGGATATCATCGGTAAGAAAAAAAAAGTGCACAAACACAACATTAGCAGATGTTTTGTAATGCATGTAACGATAGCTAACTGTCAGTTACAATCTTGCTTACTCAGTGCAGTGATACAAAAGCAGTGATACAAAAGCTGATACTCAGAAGGAGTGATACAAAAAATACATAGGCGTTCCCGTAACAAAACAGCTTCATGGGCACCACTCTCACTACCTACGCAACAAAGCTGTTTGAATCCTGAGGTAAATTGACTGCAACTTCCCACAAACCCGTTGAAACCAAAACGTTTGCTTTATGTTAATTTTACTGTAAACAAGTATAGGTGCACTACAACAAATAACCATTCTTTCTAAATTACATGTATCACTGCGGCCCACTTGATCTTATCTATAACTATAACTGAACTGCCACTGTAAGTAAAGTAAAAAAATTCCGCCATATCCACGAAGTGAATGATGATGAGTGGGCGAAGCTCCGGAGGTAAACCTGGTAAACCATGAATCCTCTGTACATTTTGCCCACTCGATTTTATTACATCGCTCCCCCTAGCGTACGTCGCCGCACTAAATCGAACGATTGCCTTCAACCAATGATACGCGCCATATGTGGCATCATTCCTATTTTATAAGATCTCGCGTCTTTCATCAACTACAAGTACCACTAGAGGTGGCTACATACAGGGGACGGTACCGCCATCTAGTGAACACTGCAAGAACTAAACTAGAGGTGGCTACATACAGGCTACAGGGGACGCACAGCCCACGCCCTAAGGAGCTTCGCCCCTAAAAAAATTAACCTCAGCCGACTATCACTGACTTATCACCGTAAACTATCGCGATTGTTCCTTTTTAAACCATTTTCAAATCACTTCTATTTTTTTCTTGATAAACCTATTTTGCCTTCCGCGTTGCATAACACATCAATCATATCAGCACCAACACATAACATACAGTCGTGCCAAATAACGCCGTTTATCAGCCACTTCTTTCTTGCACACTCCAAGAGAGAAATCTTAGGATGTTCTTAGGATGTTCTTAGAATTTCTTAGGATGTTCTTGTCCTTACCAACCACTACCTCTTGGAGAATTTTTTAGCTTCTTCTGTAACATGCAGTCATGCTTGCTGCAATGCACGTTTACAGCTTTTATGCTATACTTCATTTGTTAGCCTGTCTCATTTATTTTTTTCGTTAACAGTGTATACTGACAGATTCTGCGCGTCACTTATTCCTCCTGATATTGTTAATTGTCGGATTTATTAAATTAACCCCTCTCGAATTCACCTGGCTTGGAGGATACCCTAACTTAAAGAAAATTACAGTAACTTGTCCATTTTTGCTCGCATTTTGAGCAAGTGATAGGCCTCCTCCCCCTTATTGCATATAATAGCGCTGGTTTATGCGATAACTTTTTGTCATTTTATTTTTCGAATACTTCCACATAGGTGCCGTTGTACAATGTAAAGCCAAATGCCAACTTCACGCTCCAAAAATCAAAGTGTTTACAGGCCGTTGTCATTATCATAACCTGGACTGATTGACTTCGATCCATTTTCATGTCGCATGATGCACGGTTATAGGTTCTACCGTCTTCTAGCATAGATTGCCTGACTCCCGTATCCTAGATTGTCCCTTCACTCAAACCTTCACTCTATTTGAGAAAGTAGATTAAGAAAGTTACCTTCACCTTTATTTGAGAAAGTGACCCGCAGGTCGCTGGATCAAATCCCGGCTGCGGCGGGCTGCGTTTTCGGTGGAGGCGGAAATTCTGTAGGCCCGTGTGCTCATATTTCGGCGTACGTTTATGAACCTAAGTGGTCGAAATTTCCGGAGCCCTCCTCTACGGTGTCTCTCATAATCATATGGTGATTGCCGGACGTTGAACTTTACGCACGAATAAATCAATCAAATTACAGTGAGAAATACACGCTGTGCATGGTGCACGCACAGAGCGTCGACTATCGATAAACTGATCCGCGGTAACGCGCGTCTGCATTTATACGCGTGGCATCGAACATTCGAGCGTTATATCTTCGGGTCGAGGTATTTTCGTAATAAAGTCAGCTGCTCGCATCTTCGCGCTCAAGCCTAACAGATGATCCCAAAACTTTCTAGAATGCTCCCAAACACTCTGGCGCGGATTGCACAAGGCAGTATCTACCCGTGCAATACGCCGGCAACATGAAACATACGAAATAGTGTGGTTGGCTATATATTTCAGCTGTATCGTTGACACCACGAGCATGTTTGAGGAAAATGCAAGTAGATTGTTACAGGACGGGTAAGACGGGGTCAGGCTCATACAATGCGTTGAGACATCCATTCAATTAAATATAAAGAAAACAGCTATATAAATCGAGCGTCTACGTGTGCGTATCCATTCTAAGAACATTTCTTCTACTAATGCTGAAAATCCTGTAACAAATGTTTGCCCAAATGAACATCTCTCCACATAATTTCGGTTTTACCAGCAGCCGTACACACAATGGTCTGACTAACCTATCGACGAGGATGATTCGATCACGTTCGGAGTGTCATAACCGTCCGAAGCACGAGCCCATGCGTACGCGGTTCGGTTTTTCCTGTAAGAGAGAAAATTTTCAGGGTCAACAGCAACACTCGGGAGGAGTGCGCGTTCTCGTTTTGTTTTCGGAAGCCCGTATTATACGATTACAGAAATGTGAACGGCAATGAAACATGTGAATGGGGCGGAAACAGTTACGCAGCGTCTGTCAACTACTTTTATTGGATTATGTCTCGATGAGGGTTTGGTACCACAATGAGTGGCACTTGCCACCAAATTTCAAGCTTTGCTAAATGCAAATAAGAGGTGATGTTAGACAAAGCCATCCAGACTTCTGCTTGTATATGCGGAGTTTTTTTTTTTCTTTGGAAGAGCCAAGTGCACCATAACTGCAACTAAGAAAAACAGGGTCTTTTGCTGCTGACAATATGGTTGGATCTGGGCCGACAGTTGTGTATCAGAATGCTCAAGTCACCAAGATGCTTCAATCTGTAATATGGTTAAAACATGTATGGTCCAGTATTGTTGATATCGAGGATTAAAATGTTTATTTCGCTCGCATTGATTGAAACACTTCGTATGAACTTCAATTTGTAAAATGTTCATGGTTAAAAAAGGTGCAAGAACACGAGACTCAAACGAAGGATGGGCGCAGGACTAGCAACTATTTTCTATTCACATGGACTCACACATAAGTATAGGCCCACCGCGGTGTTCTAGTGGCTAAGGTATACTCGGCTGCTCACCCGCAGGTCGCGGGATTCAATCCCGGCTGCGGCGGCTGCATTTATGATGGAGGCGAAAATGCTGTAGGCCCATGTGCTCAGATTTGGGTGCGCGTTAAAGAGCCCCAGGTGGTCGAAATTTTGAGAGCCCTCCACTATAGCATCTCTCATACGGCAGTTTCGAGACGGTAAAGCCCACATATCAATTATCAATCAATATAGGCACGTGGTCACACAAAAAACCCAGTTATTACCAAAAAACCTTGGCTTATCGTGCTCGCCTACTCAAGTACCATATTTCGTTTTATTGCAGGGCGATCGATGGAATGCCAATACATGAGTTGCTGTTAAGAATGCGTGAAACCTCTGTTTTCTCCTGAGTTATCTGTTCCTGGCGATGATGTTCTTTTTTTTTCAAATTTAGCGGTGCACTCACACACTTTGCAATGAGCGCCGACATGTGAAACACTATCGACGCGACTATTGGCCTCGAGTTTCCCTGAATCTTACATTGACGCACCTGCGCACCTATCCGTCATTGCACCGTTTTTAACCAAGAACCCACTCCAACATTCCCGACTATCTGAGTGTTGCCGTTCGTGAAATGAGACTAAATTACACTGAATGATCAATATAGGGATATTTTGCGACTAAACTAACATCATGCTCGCACTTATTCATTGTTGCCGGACTTAATGGCTATTGCTAGACTTGTGGAACTGGCGGTCTTTCCTGCAGGCAGAAGGCGCACCACTGCGGATCGAAAGCGTTTTCTTGTTCGGGACGTCTTTTGAAAGCCTTTAAGATACGCTTCAGCATTCCTTCTTTTTCGTAGTTTCTTTTATGCCAGGTCATTTCGGATTACTTCTCTTATTCAAGGAGCAGATAGGTGCACAATATCTTCATTTTAACGGTATTCTAGCTGTTTCAGTAATATTCCTTGGAGCAAAAGAAGAACGTGGTACTGTAGCACTGACCTCGAGAAGAAACACCAAAAGGCAGAAAGAAGTAGTAAAATCTGCCTCTCACTATTTATAAAAGAATTTCGTCCTACGGCGATATGTCTTTCGGATTGTACCTATTTGCCCTTATAGCAACTAATTAAGTAACACGATAATGAGGCAGCTACGCAGAAATGAAACAAATTGAACGCTAACGCATTGGTTTTTTTTTTTTTTTTTGTCATGAGTCTTGATGCGTGCGTAGCTCAGTTCGATTAAAACAGTTGGAGGTTCTCGCTCACCATTTATTCGATACTATGTTTTAATGTTCACGTTACAAATCGGATTACAAATGTTCTAAAAGTGAATAATACTACGGCATGATTTATGTCCTGTGAAATTTAGCCTAATGTTTAGGTTCCGGCACCAGGCTCTTTTAGAAAAAAAAAAGAAGTCACATATATGTGCCTTTCCAATCTGTTGCACAGCTACCGTCACAGCTGATTGGTTGCTTACGACAAAAGTTACAGTCATCCAAAAGAAATAATTGAACCTTGCAACTGCAGCTTACATAAAACGAAAAATTGACGGCGTTAGTACATCGAGCAGGTGCTACTCAGCAAAGTCTACGTTGTATGGCTGAACGTTGATTACACTACATTTGGAAGTCTGCATACGTTACTTTTCTGTTGTCACGGGTAGATTTCAATTCAACCAGCGAGATACCGATTCTTCGTATAGACTCAGAACTTGGAGCTATGGGTATGTTTCCGTTCACAGAAATCGATATGTTTTCGTGTAGTAATTTCTTGCGTGCACAAAGCCAGCGTGTGGTAACCTGTTTCAATTATTCGCTGGCACATTATTTTTATTTTTTTATTTGGTAGAGTCGAGAAAGTTAATGGCGTAATTAAAACAAAGTTTCGCTTCAGCAGCTTATGACAAAGAAGGAAGAAAATTGTACGAACTGTTATACTCACACTGAGCCATCACGTGAATTCGTGTATCCAAATATGTTTGTGGTGTGCTTGTCCTGGTCATTCACGGAAATAAGTTCATTGAAGACGCACTTGCTTGCGTCTCCGTAAAGTGGCTCTCGCTCGTAGGATCTCATGTACAGGTAATACCTTCCTGGTGCTGTTAAGGCCTGAAAGAGCATAATAATGTAATGAAGATGCTTCGTCAGAAGCCAGCGCGACTTGACCGTTTCGCAACACTGGCTAAGGCAGTGTTGCGGTACGCTTTTTCGAAACAAGCCCTTATGTGGAACTAACTATAGCCGCCATGTTTGCAGTTACGTGGATGCTGACCTGGAGCACGTGGGCTCGACCCCAAACACCCGACTGTTCTCATTGATAATGCGGCCATGGCACTGTGATTTTGGCAGACTCAGTAAAACCATAGCGGCGCATTTCTTCGGACAGGAAGTGGCGAATGGGGGGAGGGGGGGGGGGGAGATCCGTGTTTCTTTTTCTTTGTGGATTTTTTAGTGATAATTGCTACTTCACAGTGAGCCTGTTAAAGGGCACTGTTTTCTGTTGTGCACAAGAGCGCACTCACGTGATGCTTCTAAAATTGTGTGAGCTTCCTTTATTAACAACAAAAACAAAAAAACGAGAGACGTGTGCCTTGATGAAAATGTAAGTATTAACGCAGTTAGATTTAAGCTTGCCTGCACATCCCTCATTGACATTTGCATAATTAAGAGAGTACATGTCCAGTTACAAATACAATTATGTCTCGGTAAATAAACCCCTAACTAAAGAAACAAGTCTCGTACATGCATGTTTCGCTGCAAATGTCGCCGAAAAGCGATAGTCTTCCGTCTGGAGAGAGGGAATAAAACATTTATTTGATAGGCGCCACACCCCTGTCAGCAAAGCGCTGAAGACACCCGCCTTGTCATGCATAGCGTTGCATTGTCAGCTTGATGTAATAAACAATACCTTTCTTAGAATTGTTTATGTATGACTTTTATGGCATAAAGAGACACGCCACAGTATATCATCATAATGATGATATACCTCAGATGTACACATAATTTGTTTTTATTCAATACTACGCACACACATGAATGCAGAAACCAGAGCAAAATCGGTGGGCGCTGTAGACGTGGTGGGATTTTAAAATTAAATACAAACTATAAAAAACAAAAAAACAAGCCGTTTCGGGTGACAAACAGACAAGCCTTTATTTTCTTTACAAAGAAACTTCCTAAACATACAAGTCGACAGACAAACAGACGAACCAACATTTCTGCATCAAAGTATTCTAAGAAAGACTAGCGTCTTTAAAATTAAGAGTGGCCCTCCAGTGCACAAAGAACAATATGGATTTTCCTTTGTGCAACACTGGTCCACTTTCTTGAAATGGTGCAGTTTGACAGTTGGCTGATCCCCTATATATGTCAGTACATCATCGAAAAATTCAATGCAGCATGTTATGAAATCAACCTTTATTTATTAAAAAATAAAAATAGTGATAACGTGCTAAAATAGCTACGGGTTTTAAAGTTGATAAAATGAGCCCCAATTTTTGCAAACACAGACGGCCCTTTGATGACATCTGGTTTCATCCACCCATGTGCCTAAATAGCATCAGTGGGTAAGATTACCTTTAGAAAATAGCCCGCTAATTTTTTTTTTTACACTTTCTCTCCCCTAATTGGCAAAACATGGTCTTTGCTGCCACACTTCGTGTTCACGAAGTGTGGCAGCGAAGAACATATTGTGGCAGTTTGGCAGGAAGTGTGGCAGTTTGGCAGCAAAGTGCTGCCAAACTGCCACACTTCGTGTTCCCGTCGGCTAGCATACCGACGTGCACATGACTGCGTTCCATCCATTTTCTTTCTAGTCTCGTTATTGAGTATGTTCATGAATAACGTAGACGTGACTGGTATCAAGCATAATTTTCGTAAGGGCTACAATTTTTATGTCAATAAAACTCAATTCAATTCAAAATTTGTTCATCATGTGTTGAAAGATAACTATACAACAAAAATTGTACATATTGAAATAGGCGTCTAGACTTCAATCATTCAGCTGCTCAATGCCGATATGGCTCTCGAAACCTCACGGTGAATCCCCATCGTGCATTCGTGTTTTCCAGGGTGAATGCAGCACCGCACACGACGTAACGCAAAGCTTAGCGGATAAAAAAGCAATAGTGACACATAAAGAAAGTGTCAAATCGTGAGGACTGATTTGTATAGAGCACACTAACTAACTGTGCTTCCAGATATCATGAAATACGGTGATGCAAGCTTGCACTTTTTTTTTCGACATCTCCGCTTATCCAGCTCTGTAAGTGGGAATTACGAATGTGCCATATTGAACTTGACCTACGACACACAAAAAATGTGGCACATTTACCTCCAATATCCAACAAAACTTCGCAATCAGAAATTCCCACTGGCTTACCCCAAAATCACGAAAACGCTCGGACTAGTTTCGCTTACCTTCCAGGCATCTTGATGGGGCGATAAATACGGCTTCCGCTCTAGCAGTTCTGTTATGCCCAAGGAAAAGGTCATCCATACGCACAGAACTTGCAGAAATATGTCATTCGCAGTTATTGGTGCTGATGCCATATTAGACACTGTTTTGCTTCCAAAGAATACCTGAAAAAAAAAAACATTCAACTGACGTCACCACAGAACGAGCCGTCTATAGCCAGCAACATCTCCAAACTAGGAGCTAATTCCCACGCTTTAAACCAGTTACTCTCGTTCTGCTTTTAGACACCAAATAGAAAAGACACATGCCCACACACGCTGTATTACAAAACACAACCACGCAGCTTCCGTTTCGCAAGTTTCAACGTTTGCCCAATCGGCACAAGCAATATTCATCCGTTCACGTCTCCTTCAACCTTAGTCAAGATAATGTTGCCTTACATCGGGACCAGCACACCTAGCTCCTTTTACTTCACATGTTTGTGTTTCAAAACAAAAGACACTATACTATATAAACAATTCCGCTACTGCAGCTACGAAGAGTGGCAGAAAGCCCTGGTATACTTCATGACCTGTCACTCTTTCTGGGTAATTGATTTTTGCTAAGTACGGAAATTAGCCTATTATTACTTCTTTATCCTGTTTGCATATATGCTTGTAAATGCTCAAATAAAGTAGAAAGGCCCTGAACGCTGTTATCTTTGTGGGCGTCCCCAAAGCTGCGTGGTTTCGTTGAGCAAATGTGAAGAAAGAAATCATGGACTGAAACTGATGCTTTTGGCGCCTCACGCCTGTCACCCTCAAGGGCAGTAATCGGCAGTTCCGGCCAGTCTGGCCTTCATCAGAAATAAGGGTACATTCTGTTCGCGCTCGTATTTATACTATATAGAGCAAAAAAAAATTGATGGAGAAAACGGCAACGACAAGAAAGAAAAAAGAAAAATTGTTGTTACTGTTCTCACGGAGCATCTATTTGACTATTTGCAACGTTACGGCTACTTTCACCATACATACACACACACACTCTCATTATATATATATATATATATATATATATATAATATTGTACGCCCCCGCCACAACCGGAGGCGGGGGCGTACGAGCTTCGGGAGACGCCATCCTACTCCCAAGCACTGCGGCGTGACTCTTCCGATGCCACCTGTCGAAACGGCAAAGAGAAGAAAATGAACCAAGCAGCCCCAGAAACAGACGCTGCCCCTTCTACAGGCCAGCATACCCCGTCGGGACCCCCCTCACCGAGTGCACAACCGCCATCACGCTTGCCACGGCTGTCGTCGACGCCTACAAGACACACCCCGGAAACGGCGACGAAGGGTAATCCGGGCCAACAACGACGGCCAGCTGTACCACAATCAACAGCAACGAGTGGTCAGAATCAACCACCCGCAAGAAAAAATCAGTAGCCAACATCATCAAAGAGCAAGCAGCAACCACCACCAGCCAACAGCAGGCGTCTACAGGCCAGCTCGTCACGGGAGGCACAACGGGATGGAGCTCCAACCCAAACCAAGTACGACCTCCGGATACCTTGCGGCTCTATTCGCCACGTCTGTGCAAAGTGACATACTGGCTGTGCGAGTGGGCAAACACCGTCCGTTTCAGATGAACTAGGCCATAGAACGGGTCCGAATTTTCTTAAACTTAGAAAAGTTGTTGACAAAAGAATACGGCACGAACTTCATGTGCAAAGCCTCGAACAATATGTACTGGCGGGTACGGCTCCGAAGGGGCTGCGCTTGTCGCTAACACCATCGATGCATAACTTTGCCGAAGGGGAAATGAAACGGTGGATCGAAATTCTCGATCACGCCACACAGGAGCTAACTTAGGTCGCCATCGAACACTGTAGAAAGACTCTAAACGCACTTACAGACGAGGAGCGGTATTTAAGAAATAACTTTTCTCTTTCGGAGTGGCAAGCTAAAGAACTCGACGTATTTGAGCACAAAAAAAAAAAACCGGAGCAAATTGAAAAACTTAAGAGGAAGAAATTTGCGCGGGACAATGTGTCACAAGCTATACCCACTGCTGCTTACAGAAAAAATACCAAACCATCTCACGTTCAAAAAAATTTGCCACGACACCCCAAAGAGCCAAACGTTATTAACCTTTCCGACAAAGAACTTAGCAAAGAAGAATTGAGTATACTATCACGCGGACTTACATTCTGCCCTGGCAACGGAAGGTATGATGAATTCACGCTCCTAAAAGACCTAGACAACTTCGCACGAAATTTACGATTGGAGGAATATTTCTTTGATAAACCCGAAAAAGATAACGCACTTTTTCGTGGGTAATCGGACGGTAATGGACCCCAGACGCCAACAGAGATCGACATCTGGATCTCTATATAGACGCGGTTCAAAAAGATGTTATACATGCGTACAAGGTGCACAAACCAAGCATGAATAACATATGAAAAAGAGAAAAAGAGGCACTACTCACGTTGAGCAACTGCGAAGATCTCGTCATTAAACCAGCAGACAAAGGAGGCGCGATTGTTGTTCTGAATAGATCGGGCTACATTGAGGAAGGCAAGCGACAACTAAATAACAAACAACTCTACAAACACCTCGACTTTGACTCTACCACGGAGCACAAAAAGATCATTGTAACAACCCTAGAGGATCTCACACGTGAAGGCGCCATTGATTCTAAGCTTAAAAAGGCACTTATTACGGTACATTCGGCGCTTGGTCGTTTTTACATGCTGCCGAAGATTCATAAAGAGAGAAACCATGGCAGACCCATTATATCAGGCACGGGAACGTTAACGGAACCCATTTCCAGTTATATTGATTCTTTAATCAAAGACATACCACCCACACATGAGTCCTTCTTGCGTGACACAAACCGCTTCCTTCGGGAAATAGCAGACGTGAAAATTCCAGACGGTGCATTTCTCGTAACATTGGATGTTAGCTCACTCTACACAAATATCCCACATGACGATGGTGTAAGGGCGCTTGTTGAATCGTATGGCACACACAACCCTGTCACTTATCCAAGCAAAAAAGTCATTGAAATCTTCACAAGACTTGTACTCGATTTGAACAGCATTGAATTTAACAACCAGTACTATCTTCAAATCAGCGGCACGGCAATGGGTAAAAGAATGGCCCCAAACTACGCTAACATATTCATGCACCACATAGAGTCCGATTTTCTTTCATCTTGTAATATCAAACCATTACTCTATAAACGGTACCTAGATGATATATTCATAACTTGGACACATTCGGAAAACGAGCTCCTCAAATTCATACAGGCATTCAACCAGGTACACCCCAGCATTTATTTTACACACCCCTACTCTAACACTGAAATAAACTTTCTTGATGTACTCATTCGAGTTGACGATGGTGCGTTGGTAACTAACGTATACAGAAAACCTACGGACAGGCAGCAATACCTGCACTTCAAAAGCTGCCACCCGCGACATTGCAAGACCAGCATTCCCTATTCCCAAGCACACAGATTCCGACGAATCTGCTCCCGCACCGAGGACTTCCACAAAAACAGCACACATATGCGCGAAGTACTCCTTAATCAAGAATACCCGCCAGCTATGATCGATGACGCCATCAAAAAAGCTGAAAATCTGGACCGCCAGATTCTTCTCAACAACCAGAAAAACGCCGACCAACACTGCAACAAAAGCTTGCTATTAACTTTCACGAGCAACCCACCGAACATAAACAAGGTCCTAAGAAAACACTTTAACATATTGGAACAGAGCGTGCGACTATCCAAAATTTTCACTTCTCCTCCTTGTGCTGTAAACAGACGGCCGAAAAATATAAAGGATCATTTAATAAATTCAAAGATAGGTGTGAAACCTCCAATTGGGTGTCACCCTTGCGGAAAAAGCAGATGCAAGGTATGCAAACACACGCAGACAACGACAGTGGCGAAAAGCACCCACTTGGATTTTAGGCAGAGGATATGAGGTGCACTACACTGTGACTCAGACAACGTCATATACCTCCTGGAATGTGGGGTATATAACAAGCAATACGTGGGCCAGACAGACACTCCGTTTAGAATTAGATTCAACAACCATCGGGCACATGTACGATCTCTGCCAGGCCTTCCACTTTCAAAACACTGCACATTAAAAGACCACAGCTTTGATGACATCAGGGTTACACTACTAGAAAACAACTTTCGAATAATCAGAGAACGGGAACAACGGGAATCTTATTTTATCTACAAATTTAACACGATAAAATGCGGAATAAATGAACACCCAGGCACTCTGTCAGCGTTACGACCGCTAAAAGACGCAAACGCTTCTCTCTAATCAGTCCGGTTTCATTACGACAATAATATTACCCGCTAACAAAGCATTTGGCCTATGCATCGGACAACTACAAATGATTTGCCTCATCAAGCGCAGCCGGAACCCACAGATAAGTGGTCCCGGATGTCGTACGGTCCCCCCCCTTTTTTTTCTTTTCTTCTTTTTTTCTTCTTTAAGTTTTAACGCACATTCTGTTCCTTCACTGACAATGAGCTGACAGCTAGGTGGTTTCGTTAACTTTTTCATACATGCGCGCATGTCTTCCCAGTGAGCCGCAACTGTGTGGTGACTGTCCCGGATGTCGTACAGTCTCCCCCCCCCCCCCCCCCTGTTCTTTTTTTTTCCTTCTTTAATTTTTAACGCACATTCTGTTCCTTCACTGACAAGGGGCCATTGCATATCATGAATATCGATGGCGGTGCCTCAATCGCCGGCTTTTTCATTCCTCCCGACGCCACCAGCACGCACTCCAAGCGCTTAACCCCTCCCCATTAACTTGTCCTAAACTTCAAAGAGGAACGAGCCGCCAGCGGACTACACGGAAAGGTGAAATACAAGAACGGCGGCTCCCTGCCCACTTGGGGAAGAGTGGGTGCGGGGAGGTATTGTTGACAACGATGACATTTCTCATCTACCTCTGCCCTACTCTGTTAAAATGCTGCCCCTTTCTAATTACGCGGTGTGGGTCTTGCTTCTTCTCCTAGATTTTCTATATTTTATTTTATGTTTGTCCTCCCGTTTCGCTGTTCTTTTTTTCCTTTTTCTCTTTTCTTTCTTTTTTTCCTTTTTTACTTTTCTTTTGACCCCTTCCCTCCTGTCTCGACAGGCTATAAGAA